TGTGTTTAGGTGTGCGTGCGTCGTGCGTGCTGCCGAGTGTGCGATGCGTGTGTGTATGCTTTTCTTCTTTTTTGTAGGTTGAAAAAGGCATGGGTCCGGACCCCCTCGACCCCCCTTTCTGGATCCGGCCCCTGAGCAGGTGAGTAACAGCAGTAGCACAGCGTAGCAACAACGGAGTAGCCAGCAGCGAGAGCAGCAACAGGTTAGCAACAGCGCTCCATAGCAAAACAGTAGCCAGCGAGCAAGTAGCAGCAACAGCAGCAGTAGTAGTAGATGCGACCATGGGTCACGCATGAACCCGGTAATGAGAAGCACACGTGTTAAAAACGGAGATAAAATGTAAAAATTTTCTAATTTGTGAGCTTGCCTGACGAATTCGGATTGTCGATCTAGTCCGAACATAAAATTAATGAGCAAAGACGGCCATAGGGCAGCACTAAACAAGCCGTATCATTACCATAGACATTTTAACTAGACTAGCAACAGTCAAACCCGTGTTAGCGGCTACCTCTATGGATCGCCCATCTGTCCATGAATGCCACTTTTTTCGTTTCCCTCGTGCAGCTAATATTTAGAGCTCTTACCGTTGCTTCACCTCTCGCTGTGTTCACTGGTGTCCGGCAGATGGCGTTCCCGGGCACACCCATACACAAGAGCTATGGGACTATAGACCTAGTATTACTCTCTATGATAGACTCGAGTAGACTACTATAGGACTCTATAATACGGCTCTGCATACCATAATGACAGGCAGTAGTATAATATAGGATAATAATATATAATAATATCTATATTATGCACTCCTGATACTAACATTTCAGGACCGGTAAGGGGAATATACTCGATGATCTATTGAAGAGGATGGAACAGTATGCTGAGAATCTCGAGAGCCTGGTAGAGGAGAGGACGCATCGCTTTCTACGACGAGAAAAACCGCAAATCCGAGCGCAGCTCTCTGACGAAATTGCTTCCCAAGTATATATTATTGACACGTTCGCCATGCACCCCTCACTAACTATCGCCTTCTGTTTTCAAGGTTTTAATTACCTTCTAGCTGTCTTCCTCTCTCTCTCTCGCGCACTCTCTCGTCTTCTCTCGCTCTCTCTTTCTCGGCCTCTCTCTCTCTCTCTCTCTCTCTCGTCTCTCTCTCTCTCTATCGCGCGCTCTCTCTCTCTCTCTATCTCTCTCGTCTCTCTTCTCTCTCTCTCTTTCTCTCCCTCTCTCTCGTCTTCTCTCTCTCTCTTCTCTCCTCTCTCATCGCGTCTCTCTCTCTATCGCTCTCTCTCTCTCTCCTCTCTCCGCTATCACTCTCTCCTCTCTCTCTCTCCCGCTCTGCTTTGTTTCGCTCCTCTCTCTCTCAGGTCGCGCTCTCTCGCTCGCTCTCTCTCGCTCGCTCTCTCGCTCGCTCCATCTCCCCTCTCTCTCTCCTCTCTCATCGCCTCTCTCTCGTCTTCTCTCCTCTCTGTCTCGTTCTCTTCGCTCCCTCATCCCTCGCGCTAGTTCTCTCCGTGGCCTCTCCTCTCCTCTCTCGGTCTCGTGTTCTCTCTCTCTCCTGGCTCCTCTCTCTTCTCTCTCCCGCTCTCCTCTCTTTCCTCCCTCTTTCTCGTGCGCGCGGCGCGCGCTGTGTTTGTGCGGTCCGCATGTGTTGAAGTGCGCCACTCCAAACGTCGTGTGCGTGCGTCATAGGGTGATAGTGGGAGTTTTGTCGTTTGTTTGTGTGTGGTGGTGTGAGTGTGTCGCGTGCTCGCGCGTCCAGTGCTGCGTCGCGTGCGTGCGCGTGCTTGCTGCCTAGTGCGCATGCGTGCGTGGTGTGTGTGTCGTGGGTGGTGTGTGTGTGTGTCTCCGTGGGTGTGTGTGTGGTGTGCGTGCGTGCGTAGGCTGTGCATTTGGGCGAGCATCCACCTCCGGTGTGTACATTCGTGACACCCGACACACCCGCTGTGCTGGTGGTGCTATGTGGCGCGTTTAGCTTGCCGTATAGTGTGCCAACTGCCGGGGGTAGGGCTAATACTAGAAGAGCAATCATATCCACAAGAACAGAGTGCGGGAGATAGTTGCTGTCCCGAATAAATTCGATGAGGGGTTTCTGTCATTTGATTGAGTAATATTGATGGCACCCCAGGCGGCTAGGGCGCAAACTTATTAACGACCCTGCACTGCGCTCCTCTTTGTTTTTATTGTATATTGTATATATGTAATATATTTTTGTATATCATATTTCTCTTTCTCTCTCTTTCTCTCTCGTCTCTTCTCTCTCCTCTCTCTCTCATCTCCTCTGCTCTCTCTCTCTCTCTCCTCTCTCCTCTCTCTCTCTCTCTCTCTCTCTCTCTATATATATATATATATATATATATATATATATATGTGTATTGTGGTTTTTGTATCTAGGTCTGTCGCCAAGCAACTGGTGAGCGGGAAGTCGGTGCAACCAGAGTCATTCGAAAGTGTCACCATCTACTTTAGTGACATAGTAGAGTTTACGCAGCTATCTGCCCAGAGTACACCTATGCAGGTGACAGCTTTTGTATAATAAATGTTTTTCTCGATGGAAATGCGATGATAAACATCCTGATTTTTGTACTGTTGATCTTCTTACAGCCGAATATTCAGCCAATGGAAATTCTTATTAGTGTCTAGTTTTTAATGCCAATTTAGGGCATATGTACTACAACTGTTGCAGAGATCGGATTAATTTTCAAGTTTTACATTTAGGCGAATTTGTATACAAATACCGTGCTGGAGATAACGTGCTCTTAAAAAAATACAGTTAAAGGAACAGGAAAAATTAACTTGCCTTGGCACGTAAAATTGAGAATATTTTTGTTTCTAGACGATTTAACTAAACTGGAATAACTCCAACATGTTGTTATGTAATCCCGCCACCTTATACACGGTCATATGTTGCTATAACCACGCATTTTATTTGAATAATTTTGTTTTAGCACCGAATGCTTGGTTTATTTTAGCAAAAACTTTCATGTTTCCGACAGGTTGTCGACCTTTTAAATGACCTGTACACGTGTTTCGATGGCATACTGGAACACTTTGATGTTTATAAGGTACGCACAAACACACCAGCTTTGAAATAATCGTACACCACACCTACGAATTTTAAATAACAATAAAAATAGGGCCAATAATATGCTGCCCGAATTAAAGTGCCGGTCGTCTTAGAAGAGGTAGATTTAACAAATCTCACTTAAATTTCTTATAATATTAAATATATTAAAGACTATGTAAAATCAACAACTGTGTTTTTTTTCAACAACTGAATGAAACCTGTCCATAAGCATGTGAACGCGAATTTCATACACGAAGTTCACGGTTTATTTCCCCTTTTTTGTAAACGCAATTAGGTATTGTACTTTGAACGTTCACTAGTTGTTTACACCTAAAGCGTTAGTTACAAGAACGATAAAATCGCGCACGCGTAACAAACACTCCATAGAAAAAAGTAAAATTTATATTAAAAGGTTAAATAGGTATTAAGTATTAAATAAGTAAAATATAAAAATGTTTTTTTTAGGTTGAGACCATCGGGGATGCGTACATGGTTTGCTCAGGCATTCCTATCAAGAATGGAATCAATCACGCTTGCAATATTGCGCGAATGTCCTTGAACCTACTCGAAGCGATCGATCATTTTCAAATCCGTCATCGTCCCGGCGTAAAACTCAATCTTCGAATTGGACTTCATTCAGGTAAGATGTGTGACTCTGCTTCATTCAGGTAAGATGTGTGACTCTGCTTCATTCGGGTAAGATGTGTGACTCTGCTTCATTCAGGTAAGATGTGTGACTCTGCTTCATTCAGGTAAGATGTGTGACTCTGCTTCATTCAGGTAAGATGTGTGACTCTGCTTCACTCAGGTAAGATGTGTGACTCTGATTCACTCAGGTAAGATGTGTGACTCTGCTTCACTCAGGTAAGATGTGTGACTCTGTTTCATTCAGGTAAGATGTGTTACTCTGTTTCACTAAGGTAACATGTGTGACTCTGTTTCACTAAGGTAAGATGTGTGACTCTGCTTCATTCAGGTAAGATGTGTGACTCTGCTTCATTCAGGTAAGATGTGTTACTCTGCTTCATTCAGGTAAGATGTGTTACTCTGCTTCATTCAGGTATGATGTGTTAATAATGGAGATCTGGATATTTTAGCTGCAGATATTCAAATCGTTCTCGCAGGCGCTTTAAATCTCGTTGCCTTTGGTAGGATCCGTGGTGGCAGGTGTCGTTGGATTGAAGATGCCGCGATATTGTCTCTTCGGCGACACGGTGAACACCGCATCGCGCATGGAATCCAACGGAGAACGTAAGCAATTGCTGAGTCCAACACCCTCAGGAGTGTCATAGTATAGACTATATTAGACTAATATATATATATTTATACTATTATATACTAATATAGACTAATATAGACTAATATAGACAAATATATACAAATATAGACTAATATGACTAATATAGACTAACATAGACTAATATAGACTAATATAGACTATATTATGACACTCCTGATACCTTGTCGTGCACGAGTCAGGCATTCTACAGAAATATAGTAATGTGACGGTATTTACCGTGCCAAGTCGATTGCACGCGTGTCTCACTTACATATGTCGATAAATTCCCAGGATTGTCCGCAGTGAAAGTTCTACGATCGTTCTTTATTAGTTTAACAGTATTAGAAGAAATGTGTCGAGGTTTCAATCTAATAACGTAACAATCTTTGGGAATTATGACTCATTTTAGCTCTGAAGATCCACGTTAGTAAACAACTCAAGGCGCTCTTGGACAGATTTGGAACGTTTATTCTAGAGAGTAGAGGAGAAGTAAAAATGAAGGTACGTAGTAATCAGATAGCTGGTGCTTGGATGATCTCTATCTCTCTAGATCAACTCTATTTTAACTCACGCGGTACTCTATTAATTAAGCTACTGGGTAGGATCGGAGATTGTCCGAACACTTTTTCTTTAGTTCGAACCCTTGCCATTTAATTAGCTCGACTGTGTTGCGGCGGCGAAAGGCGGTAAGCCAGCTTCCTCAGATAGGATCTCCGCGTTGAACTCGGCACGTCACTGGCGATAAACCGAATGTTGACTTGAATCAGAACACGTATATATATCATATGATCAGGAGTGAATAATAATAGATTATAATTATAGATTATAATAGATCTATTATTATTCACTCCTGATATGATATACGTGCTCTGTGTGAATATATACGTAGACGTGTTACGCCATCTAGCGACCATAACAGATCAAAAACTGGTAGCACGCGTCCAGCGCTATGATAGCGCATGCAACAATTGTGGTTTTTTCTGTAGGGGAAAGGAAGCGTGGAGACATACTGGTTAATCGGGGAAATGGCTGGCCCTAAACTGCCACCGCCACACTTCCAGGATGCCACTGATTCATCTTGAGAAACAACTTGACATCGTGGATTTCAAAGCTCACAATCACTCATTAATAGATATATAGTCTATATAATATCAATTTGACGTAATGTCGGATTTCGCTCGGAATCCAAACTGAAAATATTGCAGTTACAAAATCGTACACATCATCCGTCCAATTTTATTCTTACTAGAGGCATCATTGTTCTTACACAAGCAGTAGCTAGCGAGCTATTTATTTTAGAAATAGCTCTATGTGCTGAATGATTACCAGCACTGTTCTAAGTGACGGATGAAAACTGGCGTCATTTTCACGAACTGTGTAGCGTTATGTGACTTGTAGCATTGAAAACATTCTTATGATAGTCCATTAATTGTTCTCGTGTGAAATCGTGTGCAATATGATTAAGGGACGTTCACTCACTTTCTAGACGCCCATCGCTCTATACGTGGTGTCACGCGTGAGAGACGCGCACACAGATATCTTATGATACACTATATGTATAGTGTATTATAAGATATCTGTGTGCGCGTATATTATACATCCATATGGACATAATCTATGTACGTACTATATGTATTACTATATGTTTACGTATACGTAATGTTATATGTATCACTACATATACTATAATACTCTATGGATAATACACTGTTTTTAGCTCATCTGACATAGTCAGATGCAGCTTGTAGAATCGCATGATTGTCCGTCCGTCCGTCCGTCCGTCCGTCCGTCAACAGTTGGGCACAAATCTTAACCGCTCGACGTACGGTCACGACGTTACTCCCGGACAATTACCCCCCGGACATTTAGCCCCCGGACAATCACCCCCGGACAATTACCCCCCGGACATTTACCCCCGGACAATTA